CTACCCAGGAGTAGATCATTCAGACGTTGCAGTAGAGTCCAAAGCTCAGCCTCCACCGCCACTGCGAGGGATTGCCTGTGTACCATCTCTAGTTTCCGAATTTGGTCAAGCAGGACAGGGAGTGCACTGGGTCGGGCTTCTTAGCATAAGATGCCTGGGAGATCAGGACTCAACGGATGGAACACTTATGTGCTTCCCACACCATAAGCGGGGCAGAATCTGGAGAGAAGTTCTGATCGAAAAACTGTGAGAGTTCCTGATGCACACGGTCACATCCTCCAGAAGAGTGTCATTCAGAGTCCAATGCCGCGGTCTGAGCATCTCCCCATGGATCTCCATCTCCATCAGGATATGAGCGTGATCCGAAATTGAGATTACATCAATAGCCGAGGTATGAACCCTATGCACTGCCTAACCAGAAAGTAGTCAATACGGGAATAGGACTTGTGAAAAGACTAGTAGAATGAAAAGCCCTGATCACTGGGGTGGGATAGGCGCCCCACGTCAACTAGGTGGTCCGCCTGCAAGGCCCTACAAAACCTCTCCAGAAAGGAGTAAGCAAGATGCGAGGCACCCCTAGAAACGTCTAACCTAGGGTGGAGGGCCACATTGAAGCACTCCTCCAGGAACGCAATCTGATCCGAATTCAGAGCATAAATATTCACAAATGTCACCGGGGCCACAAAAAGTCGGCCCTTCAAAAAGATGAAGCGGCCCTGCCCATCAACTCTGGGGCAAAGGACAGCGGGTAAGGGGTAGAGTAAATTTTAGAGCACAATCAGGATGTAGCAAGGCCTCTCTCACCCCTGGAAGAGTTGAGCGATGGCCGGTCTAGTGTTCTACGGGTGCTGTGCAGCTCCTGGAAGGGATGTCTGGTATCAGCCGAGGGGGAAAATCAACAGAGCTAGAAAAACGAGCTTCTGCTGCTGGCCCACGATTTCTCCATCTTCGGGCACCTCAGGTCTAGGAATCCGGGCCTGTCGGGCTTCAGAGTGGGCTCTCCAATATTGGGCTCACTGTGGGCGGGGTACAAACCTCCCGCCCACTAGTCTGAGCACAGGCAGCGGGGAAAGCCAAATTTGGGTCCCCCACTGGCTCGATATCTTGAAATTAGAACAGCTCCGGGGAGTTGCTCCGGCGTCATCAGTGCATATGGGGCTCCACGTCGGAGGACCTGAAGGTGGAAGGGATGTCCCCATTTGTAGGTTGCACCTGCCAAGGAAATCCTTGCCAGCAGCGGACAAAGTAAGCGTCTTTGATAGAACGTGTAGCGCGACAAGTTTGGGAGGATCGTGATCTCCGCCCCATCGAAATCCACCGATTTCTTGACCCATGCCTTCCACATTTTTTTTCCTTCCTTCTGGACAAAAAAACGTGGACCCTGTCCATCTCTATAGGTGTGGCGGGGTCGCAGTCCAGCAATGTGTTGAGGATCGCCTGGACCGAGGGCCGGAGATCAGTTGGCGCTGTGGATTCAGGCAAGCCTCTCAATCTAACATTGTTCCGGCGATTCCGGTTTTCCCCATCATCTACCTGTAGCTGCAGCAGGGCATGTGCCCCAGCCTGAGCTGCCACCGACGACTCTAGGGCCTCCACTCGGGCTGCCAGTGCGCACTAAAATGCCTCACTCGCCACGACTCTGCTGTCCAGACGAGTGAGCCTGTTTCCCACCTACTCTATCTCCCTGCACAGCGCCCTCTCCCCCCGCAGGGCCAGCTGGTCAATGTCCCCCTTGGTGGCTAAGGAGCGGAGCACCGACCCCAGGTCCGCATCTAACACTGGCGGGCGATCCCTGCTGGGACCGGGCCGAGAGCACTGAACCGCTCATTCGAGGGGACCGGGCAGGCGAGGACTCACCCTCCGACATCTCAGGGGGAGAAAGCGAGTCTACACCCTCCACCGGAATCCCTTGTGGAGGTGGTGAAGCATGGGCACCATCTTGGCTGGATGGGGCCATATCGGAGGCCGCCGGCGAGGTGCTCGGGCGCACATGGCAATTGGTGCACGCAGCAATACCCGACGTGTAACGCAATTGTCATTTTCCCAAGATGATGCACCTGACTTGTATTGCCATTAGTATGGACACGTTCGCAGGGGACTTAACATTTTTTTTTTTTTTTTTACTTAACTTCATTGCTATCACATGGGGGGAGCTTTAGCTGAAGAATTGCAGCTGAATGTAAATAAAGCAGGCAGTGGCTGGGAGAAATAACCTTTTACTGGCCATTTCAAATGCGATAGCCAATAGCTATTGCACCCACCCACTGCCTGCTGTCAAGCAGAGTGGGGAACTGAAGGAGAAAGTTATTTTTCAGATCCTCCTCTGCAGACAGCAGGCACTGCAAGGTAGGTGCAAAAGCCAGCCTGCTATTCGCTATTTCAAATTGTAATAGCAGGCTGGCTATTAAACCCACAGTCACTCAGCAGAGGAAGGACCTGAAGATGAAAGTTCTCCTTCAGGTCCGCTTCTCTACTGAAGAGCGGGGGCACTGCAGAGCACAGCATGGCACAGGGGGAAGGGGAATCAAGAGTCATAGTGGCTGGCATCAGTCTTTCCTAAGCGCCTGATGCAGTGGCCTGTATCCCCTCCGATTCCTGTTGCCTCTGCCGATACAGGCGGGCAGAGCAGCGGGGATCGATGGGGATACAGAGCGCAGCATGCTCTCAGCGGAGAGAAGAAGAGGGGAGCAGAACTGATGCAGAGGAGACAGTGTGGGACAGTGAATGGGCTGACAAAAGCCCAGGCACCAGGACACAATGGCGATCTGGGATTTGTCGAGGCCTGCCTTACCTGAGAACTCGCCAATATGACGATGTATAGCACAAAATCAACTAGACGCTCCAGAGAAAAAGACAGAAAATCTGCTGGGAAGCTGCCAGAAGGCCATGACTTAAAATGGAAAGGAACAACCAGAACCCACCAAAACAGGTGGACCAACAACAAATTCTTAAAATAGTTAGGACAAGGCCCACAGTTAGCTGTGGCTGTTATATACTTAGCGTAAGTCTCTGCTGGCATCCGAGTGGAGCCCCGCCCTAAGCTATCATCTCCCGTGACATCACTCACTTTCTTCCCTCCGTATGCCAGGACATTCAAACAACCGGCATCTGTTTAATTTGTAGACCCAAGTTCCCCGACACTGCAGCGGCTACTCCTCTCTTGCAGGCCGACTCTTCCTGGACGAATCGTGCCAGTCCCCCTCTCTGCACTACTTCACAGTGGCAAGTCACTTTCCATTGCTTCCACAGCCACACAAAGCATTTATTATCAGCTGCTTCTGATTTCTGTGAGCACTCTGCATAATCTAATACTGCTGCTGATTCCTGTTTGCATTACCCAATACTGCTGCTGATTCCTGTCTGCAATCTGCATTACCCAAAACTGTTGTGGTTTCTGAATCGCTTTACTTGGACACCGATTGATCCATGCACATGGGGGGTGAGGGAAATTTTTTTAAATAGCAATCAAGCTAAATAATAATAGTTATCACGTAGCTCTATGTGATAGCACTGATACAGTGAAATGTCCTCTTTATAGAGACATCAGGCATTTATTAGACCCCCTAATGTCACCTATGGACCACAAAGAAAATTGTGCTTAATCAGCTTCTTCTCCGGCTGTCTGGGACTGGAAGTGATGAAATACACAACGCTTCCAGTTTCAGTGATTGGAGGGGAGATCAGCCTCTGCAAGCATGCTGATCTCCTCATATCGAGGAGCAGAGATCCGATGTACAGGTTCACAAAAGGAGACAGGAGAGCCTTTGATAGCCAGCAGCGGAGAGGGGGCTGCATACACATGATCAAGAAGCTCCACAGCCACCTGAAAACTTGCATGTTACAGCCAGGTGGCGGCTGCAAAAAACTGTACCATTTTCACGGTTGCTCCACTTCAGGACTGCACCATTTATATATGCGCAGGTCTTGAAGTGGTTAAATATGCTCCCCAGAGTCTCCTGATGAAGCAGGCAAGAAGATGTCCTGTAAAATGCATTGAGTTGTCCAATATCTAATTATACTTGTTATATGTAAAATATGGTATACAATGTTGAATGTGACATCTATTATTATGTAACTGGTACAGTCCAAGTTCGAGGTTAGCCCTCAGAGGCTCCTAGATAGATACTTTGAATATACATTACAGGAATATAAAACAGTTTTTACTAGAATATCTTAAAATGTGTAATAGAAATATTTGAATTGTATTAAGTGTTAATCTGGTACCATTACAGTGCGGCATGAGGTCTTCTTTTGTAAGAGGTACGTTAACCCACCAAAAACTCCTTAGGTAATTCGCTCTGTGCCTTAAACAGGAGAAGCAGGGTGTTCACTGGATTTATCTGGAAGCTTGTTTCATACCACTGAATCTTGTGGTTGGGCTGAAGTGAGAGAGCTGCTGTTGCTTAAGTCTTATCGTGAACTTAGCCCCTGCAGCAGAAACATTGATAAACCTGCAGATCAAGCTATCTAGGTCCTGGCTAAACTCAGTTAGCAGTCAGCTTTAGGAGCCTCCCCTTCCCTCAGCTTCCCAGAAAGTTGGGTTTTAGAATTTATATGGTTTTACTAGTTTATAATTATGGGGCATTTTTCTTTGTTTTGTGAAATATAAGACTATGTTAGTTTCTTTTACACATTATGTTTCACAGCAACGCTTTAAAGTGGTATTTATGGCCTGAGAGTATGTTAGTTCTATGCTGTGAGGTGCACTATATTAAAAAGACCAAATTTACCCAGTCTGCATATATAAAGTGCTTGGTCTGCAGCAGCAGTCCATACTCACACCCCTGTTTGTTTCCTACTTATTATTTGGTAACTGTCCAAAAACATATTATAGGAAAAAAAAAGTACTAACATCTTATCTGAAAATCAAACTAATGATAGTGTTGCTTTTACTACTACAATATCTTTAAAATCTTGTGAAAACAGCAGACTTGCATTTATCTTTCGCATATAGAATGCATTAATAAATACCAGTTTTTAGGGGAACAAAAAATTACTACCTTGAACTTGGAAGGGATGAATATGTAAAACTGTTGAAGTTTCTCCACTGTCTGATACTTGGAAGATACTGAACATTTAACTGGATCTTTCAATGCAGCACGTTGCAATTTTTGTACCTGTTTAAAAAAAATTAAGAGAAATTAAAAAAAAAAAACTAAAAAAAAAAATTAAGAGAAATCCTAGAACGAAAGTTTTTACATAGGAAGAATTTTTTAAAAAATGTACATACTTTGTACCCGCCAAACAATCCAAATCATGTTTTGCAGTCACATTGAATATCAGTTCAAAATCCCACCCCAATACCGTGGCAATTTTTGACGTTTCCCTAACAAATTAATCAAGTTTTTGATCCCACAAACCTATTGAAATGTAATAGTTTAGGCACCCTATATATGCATTTTTAACAGAATTTTGACAAGTACTTGTCAAAACGCCCTGTTTTTTCCGCCCTCACCCTGCAGCGCCCTCAGGCGGCCGCCTAACTTGCGGTAGCGCCGGGCCTGTATAAACCTCCTATGTATTCCTGTCACTGTTCCTAAATCCTCTTACCATATTTTCTAAACTTTAATTTAAATGAATCCATATGGATAACTAATGCCTTTCATGATGTTGCACTATCCACCTCTTTGTTTAAGGGCCTGTGTTAAAACATCATAGAGGTGACCCATATCTGTGGCTTACTGGCATGGAAAGTGAAGATTGTGATTAAAAAAAAAACAACAAAAAAACTATGGCAGCAAAGAAAAAAAAAAAATCATCTTATTCCTGTTGAAACAATTGAAAGGTATCACTAAATGTATTTCAATCATTTATACTATTTTCTGGGGCAGAGCCAAGAGAAGCAGTCACATTAAACCAGGGAACCATAATGTACCTGCAGCCTTTGGGCAAGTGTTCTAGCCTGTGCCACATGGGGAGTAATACAAGGGAACAAAACACATCAGGTCCTAAAGGGACCTGTCATCTGACTGGTGAAAGTATGTTTCCAAGCTTTGGAGACCTGCAGCAGCAAATAGCTGGCTCTTAAACTTTGCAGCACCCTCAACAATACCAGTAACCCACACCACAGCCCTGCAGGGCCTCAACCAACCAGCAAATTACCGTCTGCTCCTGCATCCTGGGTACTCAATCCCAGTAAGCACAAGACCTACAGTCTTAAAAGGGAGACATTGTTACCACATTAAGATGAGACAAGCATCAGCCACAATTATGCCCTTAGGTTTAAACTGAATTAGAGCTAAATTCTATAAAGTGAAAAATTCTTTAGTTAAGTGAAACTTGACTAAGTGGTGCAGTACCAGTACTAAGCAGCGAAGTTTTTATAAAAACTTATTTTATTTTTATAAAAACTTTGCTGCTTCGTACTGCACCATGAAGGCTGTCTTTCTCTTCTAAAATCCCATTTGATTCACAATCGGGACCGGGAGAAAAACACCAGTTATTCGTGGGTAAAAGGAGCCGGGGTCCTGCCGTAGAAGAATAGCTGGATCCGTTGCGGTGCGGCTAGTGAAGATAACTGCCGGTATCCGCTCTACTGCCGGGGGAGTCTTGCACGCATCTGTGGGAGAGCTGGGGGACCAGACCCACACCCCTGAGAGGGGCTTGATTTCCACACACCATCTGTGAGTAACCATTGCTTGGGGGCCGCAGATCGGGCGAGGAAGAGCTGCTGTATATCTCTGTTTGGCATTAAACCTGCTATTTATATCATGGACTGAGACTTTGGAAGAAGTTTTCCCAACTTAATTTTAATATCACTGTTTTCACTGGAATATTTTTTCATTTAATGATTTGTGTTATCACCCACTAACTGGATGTATTAAGTGTTTCATTTATTTGATATCCTGTCACATTGTATCAATCAAGGAGCTCTGTACTCTGAATGTTGTGCATTAACACTGAATAGGTTACTATCAGACATTTCTGTCACATTAGATCACTTAAGTAGTTTTATGCTTTAAAATATCAGACACTGAATAGGTCTCTTTGAAGACCCTTCATTGGTTTGAAACACAGTTTTCTCACATCTTTTCACATTAATGCAATTTTCACTGTGAACAAATAGGTTTCACTTAACTAAATAATTTTTCACTTTATAGAATTTATCTCTAATTCAGTTTAAACTATTTAGTTTACTCAAACGCCTATAGCGCTGTGTTAGCACTTACGTATCACATAATTTCTCATAGCAGCTTTAGGATCACTATTTATTTAATCCAATAACATTTTAGCAGTTTTTCCAAGAGCGCAGATTTTTGTTAAAACTATACCCTTAGGTTGCTTACTATAAAAAAATAAAAGAAAATGTACCCACCAATTAATTGTCTCCCAAAACAGATACTTTTAAAAGTATGCAGACTGTTCAGGTTGCCATTGTGGTGGCGTACCGAGCAGGAATTATGAAAATTCTTGCAACAATACAATTTTTTCAAAATCAAGTACAAGTACTGTTCCTCAAATACTCGTTGATACCAATTACCGATACATTTTTTTAAAGTGACATTTTTTCTAAAACAATGCATACTGATGATTTTAGGACAGTGGTGGAGCACAAGGGCCCAGTCACAGCTGCAACCCTGGTAGTTCTGCCACTGACTCCAAGCTGTAGAGCAGGGGTCTCAAACCTCCGGCCCTCCAGCTGTGGTGAAACTACAAATCCCATGATGCATCTCCCTTGGGAGTCATGTCTGTGAGAATCTTGCAATGCCTTAATGGGATTTGTAGTTCCACCACAGCTGGAGGGCCGGATGTTTGAGACCCCTGCTGTTGAGGGACTGCAAATCCCAGCAATTATACAGCAATGCAAAACACTAGCAGCGAAAAGGACTACAAATCTCACCAATCCATTATACATCAATGCAGAATACCATCTATAGAGGACTACAAATCCCAGCAATACATTATATAGCAATGCAGAATAATATGAAGCTACATATTCTGTGTTGCTCACCAGGGCTCCATGTGCGGGCCTCACCAGGGCTGCGTATGGGTTTCACAAGGGCTCTGTGCCATGTCTCACCAGGGCTGTATAGGCGGGTGTGGGGCTCTCCAGGGCTGTTCCCGTCTCTGCGGGCAGCAGGAAGGAGGAGATGTGGGGCTAGACCGGTGCTGTAAAAGACAACCGTCGCAAGGTCCTAAGCAAGCTGCTTGAGGTTCCCAAAAAGGGTGGGACTTCAGGCAGCAGCTCCTATTTAAAAATGTAAAAGGCCGGTAACTGTCCATAGTATGGGGGGATTTTCACGAGTACTGATACTCATGAAAATGCCTAGTATTGGCACCAATACAGATACTAGTATAGATATAAGCGCATCCCTAGAATTGACTATTTGTCTTGCAGTACTGGATCCTCGATTTGAATACCAGCCAGCACACTATGCATGGAGTTTGCATGGTCTTTCTGTGCTTGCATGCGTTTACTCGTGTCCTCCCACACTCCAAGACCTGCTGGTAGGTTTATTGGCCCCTGTCCAGCCCTGGTGTGTGTGTGTGTGTGTGTGTGTGATAACGATCTTAAATCTCTTTGAGGGCAGGGACTGATGGTAATATACAGTATGTAAAGCACTGTGTAAATTGGTGATACTGTAAATGCATAACCAATAAAATTCCTGCCAAAACGTTACAGAAAAGTAAACAAAATAAACCTATAGGAGAAAGAAAATTATACTCGCCTTACCGCCAGCTTCCGTACTGCAGGAAGTGATGTCACTATACTTACAAGATTCCAGGGTATGCTGAATAGACTAAATCTTGCGAAGAGATACTGTGCAGAAGCTTTATTTTGCTAGATTTGGGCTACTTAATATCTCCAAGGAGCTTCCCGAAAAAATGCTGCTATTCTCTTGCCTAAGTGTTGCAATTGGAAGCTGGGGGTAAGGCAAATAAATTAACCAACATTTCCGCTAGAGTTTTATTTTCCTTTTTTTATTCTAACTTCACTGCAGAGTTTAAAATTGGCATGACCTCCGAAACGTTCACTTTAGTCCTCAAAACTGGAATGCTGGCAAAAAGTTTTAAAAACATTTGTTAAAAAAAAAAACAACAAAAACAAATCTCTACTCGCCTTTTTTGTCATTGTAGCAGAAAAGAGGAAAGTCTTGCGATCTTGTGGAATAACCTTTAAGATTTTATCCACCTGAAAAGGCAGAGAGATCTGTTGACATACATATTTTTCTACCATCAGAGTCAATTCACAAAGCTTTCATTGCGGATATTGCATGCCATTTAAGTTTGTTCAATTCACGAAACAATTTAACGCTTGGAATCTCCTCCAATTAACGTCTGTGTTTACAGAAGTGATATTTTATTGTCCAAATCGTTTTTTTAATGTTTCAATCCTCATTTTAACAAGCCTAATCCCTAAATATGTACAGAAGTGAAATCCACAAAGATTTGTTGGCCATTTATCGACTTGATCGACAAATTGTTACATAAGCACCTCCCTCAGTGTCGTTATGACAGTTTTCAGTCAGTATTTTCTGCTCTGAGGGGGGAGATTTGTGAGGTGAACTGATAGCTGTGAACTTCTGGCAGTTAAGACTCTGTTTTGCAGTTTTCAGAAGATGGAACGGCTAGTTCACACCAAGTGTGTTCCAGGAGCAGAGCAGAGCAGTTACAAACCGTATCAAAACTGTGTCCAATGTATTCCTAAAAGGTATTTTGGGCTCTAGTTCACACCGCAGCGTTCAGTTCCAGAGCATGTAAAAAAAACTGCAGCAAGCCCTATAATAGCTGCTCTGGAACGCTCGCAAACGCATCAAAAACACATGCAAACGCACTGGATCGCACTGAAAGCGCATTTTAAACTAAAACATTGTGTTTTTTTGCAAAAACAGCCTTGATACCGTCAAAAATGCGGCAACACACACTGCACTGCGTGTGCAGAAACTCTTGCAGATATGGTCTGCATTTGGTGTGAACAAGCCCTGAGAACTTAAATCCATCAAGAGACGCAGAAGAACACGTCGACATGTAGTTTAGATTTCTAAACGAGTATTGCGCTCTCGCACCCTTTTGGATGACTTAACAGAAATACAGGTAAAATTTTGTTTAACTACTAACATTATTTAAGCACTTTATGGAGGAAATCAGAGTGGATTTGGAAAACATACAGAGAAGTAATGCAGTATCAGGTCTTGTGTGTTTTTTGGTGGTACTCCATTATTTAGGAAATGCCTCATACCAACACGTTAGTGGGAAGATCATTGGAATATCACAGCCAAGCTTCTCTCATTGCCTAGTTTTGCTTGGACTACAAATCCCAAGGACGAGCCTCCAAATGTAAAGCTTATCCCAAGGACGAGCCCAAATGTAATGCTTGACAAAATGTTTACTCATATTTGTCGGTTTCTTGCAGTAAATCTCAAGGAAGCTGACCCAGGAGCATTTAACGTACTTTACTATGCAAAAATGCTGCATGCACAAACTTAGTTAATGGAAAAGCAGTACAAAACAAACATACAGGCTGCTACAAACAAACATACACATGCACCCACTACACTATTCTTTCTAGCACATGTAATAGTTTCTATAAGAGGATACACTAAAGGTACTTCGCTTCCAGTTGCAAATTCCATAAAGAATATGATTTTGTGGCAATAAAGCATTCGCAGGAAAATGGCTTCTGGTTGGAGCCTCTCCCAGTCTTTTGTTTCAGTGACTACCTCCTTGGTCATGATACAACATCCTCCTTGGATGTTGTATCATGAGTTGCATTGTGAAGTCCCCTCTTGGCACGGTGAATTCCCTCTTGGCCAGAGTTGCATTGTGAAGTGAATTGTGAGGTCCTCTCTCTGAAGTCCCAAACACATTTTTGAGCTGCTGGCTTTTATTAGGCAAATTGGCAGTCCACCTGTGGGTGTTGCCTCCTAACACTTGCATTAGAACCCATGCCAAATGTATCTCACTTTTTCCAATTCTAGGTGGCAGCCCAATACCATCAACAGTCAGTAGGTACTAAGGAGTCTGACTAAATCTTGGATCAGCCTAGGCATTCCATAAAGTTTCCGCAATATCCCATTGTGAGAAAGCTAGATATAAATAATGGAGACACTAGAAGGCAGCTACCATCGTCAAAAAAAGTTTGGTCCGATTATACTTGCTTAGCTGAGCAGACCCTCTGTCTCTTTGCAAATTCCTGTGTGCCTGAAAAATCTATTAAGCAAAAAAAAATAAAAAATTATATATATTATATATCTACACACACACACACACACAAAGCAATACACTTCGTGGAGGTTCTTCAAGCACTGCGGCAACTTGCTCCCAAATATATTCATATGGGCAAGTCACAGGAAGAGCAGGGTCAAATAAAACTCTTTGACCTGGCAGGAATGCCCAATGTCATAGGAGCAATAGACTGCACCCATGTACCTTTGAGGCCCCATCTGAACAGGAGCACCTTCTAGCGCAAGTGTAAGGGTTACCATTCCACAAAAATTTAAGTGATATGTGATTCAAACCTGATAACCAGATATGTGGTGACTGGCTTTTCTGGATCCTGTCATGATTCTGATATCTTGCGTCAATCTGCAATTTATGAGACTTGAGCATGAATTATAAAATGGCAGATGGCTGCTGGTTGTGTGTATCCAAATGTGTAATGCTTAACCTTTTGGGGGCCTATCTGATACTCACTTCTTTGTGTCATTCAGTAAATAATCTAGAATCTTTTTCAGGTGCCATACTGGAAGCACATAGTATTGCCTAAGCAATATCTTTATTAATATACCAAGTGATCAATAGTGTGTTAGCAATATCTTAATAATTTCCTTAAACTCTAATTGCAAAGGAAAAGATGATCCTCCTTTTAGGGATAATTTGATGGTTGACAAATATTTCACAAACGTGGCAAACCCTTTTATAATTGAATAGCCCTGTTGTATAAAATAGCGTAATGTGATATAGCAGGATTGGTTTTAAAGCCTCTTCTGAATTTATAGTCTTTGTATTTTTGTCAGAGATTCTGATTTTCCATGTTTACCCTGGCTATTTACCCCAAATAATAGGCCCTCCTCTTTAGCAAAAGCATTCTACAAATGTTGTCAATGCAAAGACCAGAGTGTGATTGAAAGATGCTTTGGGGTCATGAGGCCTGGCTGAAACTAAGGCTAGATTCACATCTAAGTGTTCTATATGCGGATGGAGGGAGGTCTGTGGATGTGGTATATCTGGATTTCTCAAAGGCTTTTGATACGGTACCACACAAACACTTACTATACAAGCTGAGAGCTATGGGCATAGATGGAAGGGTGTGTACATGGATAGAGAACTGGCTAAAGGAACTGGTACAGAGAGTATCAATAAATGGCGCCCTTTCAGACTGGGCTAGTGTCATTAGCGGTGTGCCTCAGGGTTCTGTGCTGGGACCCATGCTTTTCAACCTGTTTACGACATCGGGGATGGAGTAAACAGCGATATCTCAGTATTTGCTGACGATACCAAAATTGGGAGCGTAATAGAAACAGACCAAGATAGTGTATGCGTTGCAATCGATTGTGCGTGTTTTTACATCAATGTGCCAAAATCTGCTCGTAAAAGCATGTGGCAAAAGAGCCGCTTTTCTATGTGCCATTTTCACTATGTCCCTGTCTGAGGGATTTCTGCAGTATACCCCTAGTAAGGTAGGGGACATGTTTGTAGCGTACAGCCTCTCACACAACATTGCACGACAAAGGGGACTGCAAGATGATCTAATAGAAGAGACTGTAGAGGATGATATTCCCACACCTGAAGTTCAAATTGAACAGAGGGGGAATGAAGTTGATAAAAACTAATTTTTAACTGTCAGGTACGTGTGAGGTTAGCAATGGATCAAACATTCTCCAAAAGAACCATAGAAAATACAGTACAACAGCAAAAAGTATACAGCTCTGCAGTGGCGTAACAACCGGGTGGGCAGGGGGGGCACTTGCCCCGGGCGCAGGACTGAGGGGGGGCATGCCATGTGTACCTTGCTGTAAAGCTGGTTATGAGTTGATGAGTGCGTTTGCCATTTGTTTTGCTTGACTGATTTGGTGCAGTTTTTTTTGCATGCCGGCTGGTGAGTGTGCTGGGAAACTCTTTACTGTTGTACTGTATAAAGCCCTTCCATGTGCACCTTGCTTTAAAGCTTGTTATGAGTTGATGAGTGTGTTTGCCATTTGTTTTGCATATGGGATAATCTGCCCCGTGGCAAACTATATGTTGGTTGAACCAGTAGAACTATATTTGGAGAACACAAAGGCAATATTCTCAAGAAAATGGATCGTTCAGTTCCCAAACATTTTTCTGCAAATCATAACTTCTGCCCAGATAATCTATGACTATTTTCCATAGAAGCCATCCCTTGGGAAGGTGATGAGGGTGTGAGATTCAGGAAACAATGCAGTAGAGAAACTTTCTAGAACTACACCCTAAACAGCCTCCCTCCTGCGAGATTGATTAGGAGTTTGGAGGTGTCTTCAGCACAGGTTTAGTTTAAAAAAAAAAACGGGTTTTTTTTTGCCCCCGCCCCCCCCCCCCCCCTTCTCTCTCCCCCTCTCCTGCAGGGACTTCTCTTATTCTGGTTCCCAAAATTGGTCACACACACGTTTATAGAATTCAAGTAACATTCTGGATTTACTCACTGGTCTCATTCAGTTTATACTATTTTGTAACATCTGGGGTCCTTTTACGCTTCCCATACTGTATTGGATTTTCATTTGTTTGTGCCTGGTTAAATCACAATTTGATTCATTTATCAACTTACTCCTCTTATCATTATTATTTATTGCTAATATACTATGTATTCTGCATGGTTTTATTATTGCTCTTCTAAACAAACAAGCAATTTTATTTCTGCCATTATGTGATGTCACAATGCCTTGTTCTTAATTTTCACATCATTTTAGATGTTAATATGTTGGCCAGTCAAACCAGAGTACCCATAATAAAATAGATTCAGAACCATCCCAAACCTGCAGTGGCTAATGCTCCACATCCCGCTGTGCATCAGCAGTGCTTTGTCTTGCCCCCAGAACTGGCAGCTGCTCACACTGCCAGTCAGGGTGGATCATTGAAGGCTTGCCCTTCCTTCCCACATGTGAGAATTCACACAGCCAGCCTTTTTTGGTTGCCCCACCCTCTATCATGACATCACTCCGCTGCTAGCATGCA